AAAGGAGGATATCAAACATATGTTTGAATGTCCAGGAACAATGGCAATTCGAATGGAGTTATTTGGACGAGTGGAGGTGCCTCTAAGCATATTGACAATGGAGCCGAAAAAGAGCCTCGCTCTCGCTCGAAGATTTCTTCGTGAAGTCCGTCAGGCCCATTAAGGAAACAAAAAAATCATCATCATCATCATAACACCAACAACGATAATTATAACAGCATCTACAGTAAGAGAATCATAAGGAACTGAAATACCGTAACATCAAGAGATAGCCCCCCTCTCTCCTTAAACATCCTATGTGAATTTGTTTTATAACTTTCCGAGAAGTAAAAGCAACGAGAGAACTCTCAAATAACTGTGAGACGGAGGCGGAGCGAAAGAAACATTGGCTAATTTCACCTTCTAAAGCCCCTACTGTTTCTTACCACACGTTTGTATCTGGTTCATTAGGTCGATCTGTGTCACGTGGCCAGAACGACAGGAAATGACTTCCGGCATGTCAAAACTGAGCCCCCCAGACGACACCAGCGTTCCATTGTCTGACTGTCTGTCTCCATCCTGCTGGGTTTCATTGCTGAAGGAACTGTCCCATTTGATGGTCAGAGAGTCTTGTACGTCCGCGAGTGTGTTCAACAATGTGTACTGGCTTGAAGCTGTCATATTATCTGCGGCAAGGGACGCTTGAATCAGGAACTCGATCTCCACTTGTGACTGTGTTTGCAAAAGAGTTCAATGAGCCCTTTATTACTACGTCGCTTAAAGCAATGCATACACTTGTCTAAGTGGGTGGTTGGCGGGTGCAGTGTTGTGATTTGCCCCTCTTTTTCAATCAAATATCTATCTTACTTATCTCTCCTCCTTCTTTTTAGTATTTGTTACTCTCTTGTAACATCTTTCATTTTTCGTCACTTATATAACATTTACTGCAAGTGCCGCAGAACACATACCAAAACAACAACAAAAAACAACATTTCAGCTGGGAAAGATCATGTCTGGTCGAAAGATTAAATTTAAAAAAGTAAGCATTTTACGCCATCACCGGTACAATTAGGTCATTTACTAGGAGGGATGCTTCGATCCAGCCCGTCATGGCCAACTCAGGCTGAAGGGAACACTACTTCCAACTGAAAGATGGAGATACATGATGTACTCGCTAAAAAGATATCCCCATATAGCAATTCTATTAACGCATTCTGAGTGCAACGGCGAGGCACCTTACAGATACACCACATACGCGGTATCTGTTAGAGAATTCTAGCTCGAAATGTTCTATTATCAAATGAAGAGCTTCTTTCCAAATCTTAAGTATTTACTAATACTACTGTTCAGTGAGAAATAAGATGAGAAATGTTTTCATAGCCTTGAAAGTAAAAAAAAAATTGTGTTTGTTTCAGCTAAGCATGTAGCGTTAAACATGCCGGCAAGTCTTCGTGTATTATGAGGGTACTTTTTCAAATAGAAGTCCTCTTAAGGACCTAATCAGCCTTTTATCTTCTTAACACAAACAGTTTTAGGCTAGTTCAGTACCCGCAGGTGAAGCTAACCTTTGTAATAGATATAGCGTAAAAAGAAAAAAGACAACAACCAAAAATTTACGTCTCCTGAACTGGATGAAGCCACGGACTGGACAAATTTGTTGTCCTTGAGATTTTACGTGGACTTTTTTATTTAAAAATAAATTTCGTCTTTTTTTTGCCCATCCTTTAAATAGACGCCATTTGATTAGTATAAAACGTATATTATGAGATTTGCTTCTTTGCTCTATGCTGTTTTTACAGATGATTAGTAGATATATATATATAGCTCTATCTTCTGAGGCACACTTTACATAAATACTGCTGTAAGGTAATAAATCTAACATTTAACTAATCGAAACCCTAGTCTTTTTTGGGGATGGATTACACCGCCTTCGAAACACCTTCTATTCGGTGTTCAACGGGGGCATGTTGCGCTTAAATGTAATGTTTTTTATGATCCTCTGAGACGGCACAATCCCCTCCATATTGTAAATCAGTAAATAAGAATAGGAAAAAATGAAGCGGAAGATGAGAGAAATCAATGACAGACGATGCAACATATGACCAGATGGCAGGGATATGAAACTACGTTTTCACAATGCTCACCAAGTTATCCATTCAGAATGAAAGCACAAAGCAATGCATGAGAAAAATCGATGATAGCAGCCGTTAGAGGAACCCTCATGAGGCATGCGTTTGTTTAGCTAAAGTTTTTGTTAAAAAAGTAATCTGAGACAAAATGTCCACGCAAGCTAAAAACTCAAAACGTCGAAGAGACAGAGCAAAAGGCAGACCGAAAAGTGAGCAAAAAGATATACGTATAGATTGACAGACAGACAGACAATGAGACGTGTAAATGTCGAACATACCGTGCTCGTGTTTGCACCCGAAGCCCCTCTGTCAATGTCTTTCGCCAGCCAACTATCCCACGGGTCAGAGTTCGAAGTGTTGTTGCTATTATCCATTTCGTCGAAGAGTTTCCACGGCAGAGTGTCTGATTCCTCCTCGTTACTGCTATTTTGCGAAGAATTTGCGGGAAAATTTGTTGTACCATTTTGATCGTTCACCGTGGAGTTTTGGGGAAACGGCTCAAGAGATGACGGTGCTGTAGTGCCTTCTACGTTAGAATTCGCTGGGGAATCACCGGTAGCTGTCGTAGAGGAAAAACCAAGAAATTGTACAAATGGATTCATATTTAGAGCTGATGACGATGGAGTTGTTGTGTCAATGTACTCTCTGGCAGTATCTGCACTCCTCCATGATCTCCCCTCTCGATATTTGTTCGAAGCACTTTGCACGGGCCTCTTCCCATCGTCTGACAGATAGCCTTTAGTGGGACTTTGATGGAAAGCCTGCATGTCCGGAGTAAAACCAGACTTTTCAAAAGCGTCATCGCTCATGTAGAACAGGTCACGCTTGATTTCCTTCTCGTCAGGGCCCTTATCCACCGAGTCTGTGTCTTTTTCTGGACGTCCGGCACTGGTTTCAGAATGGGAAGCTCCTCTATTTCGTTGGTCGGAATCCCGCTGAAAAGGAGTTCCCATGTCTTGTAATTCACGGCGACTAGAAAATGGGTCAAATCTTTTCACTCTTGCTTTAAAGGATGTGGTAGAAGGAAAAAGAACTGAAGACGGTGTCTCTCTGTCTATATGGTCATCCAATTTGTTCCTGATTTCTTTCGTAAAAAACTGAAACTGCTTCCTTTGATTCCGAATCTCCTGTTTTTCACTCGAGATTTCTTCCTTCGAGGCAAAGCGAAGACTTGTCGTGTTTTTAAATATTCCCTCGCTTATCGTGAGTCCCCTTGGTTTCCTTTGCACCTCTCGTCGTCTCCGTTTCTTTTTGGAGTCAGTTCCACAGTACACAATGACGTCTTCTACATTACAAGTCTCATCCCCGCACACCTCCCATGACAGATCTTGCAGAGTGTTGCGGAACATCTCAGCAATTTCCGCCCTCGCAGAGACACAGTCCCCGCCCTCAAAGTAGAACTTGGCGCGACCTCGCAGCTCAGCTTTGTGCGGGAAGTACCTCCCTGTAAATAGAATGTTTGAAAATGTGTTATCGCATTCTGGTAGACACTGGTATACTCGATAAAATGATATACCCCCCCCCCCCCCAAAAAACCAAAAAAAAACCAACCAACAAACAAACCAGGCAGTGCTACTTACTGAAGTTGTCTTTAGGCCATTCCCAAGTCACACTTTTGCGGAACTCGAATCCGTGCCCTATGAGTGCAACAACAAATAGTCTGTCCACATATGGCTGTTCCTGTACCTAGGACATGAGAAACGTTTTTTTTTGGTAAGGATGCACGCAAAGATATAATGTGTGAGGCATCTTCTGTGGGTGGTTGGAGAGCGCCTCTTGTAGGTCCTACTTCTTTTCCTCCTTTGCTGTTTCTGTTGTCTGCTTTACTTTTTCCCAGCGCTAAATGACCATTATTGTGTCGATGTGCTTCTCTTTACAAACAAATAAACAAACTAACAGGGCATCCTCTGTCTTAGAGTACATTCAGTCAATAGTCTAACATTAATTCTACAGTTGAGATGTCTGTATGTACGTTCGATGATATTCAGTCAATTATGATTGAGGTGGTGATGAATAACACTATAATTGGTTAACTGTAGTCGTCGGAGACAAGTGAACCTTCTGGGGATTATATTCTTTTTGACTCAGATAGAAGAAGTATGCATTGGCGCTTCAGATTTCCATGTCTTTATCCAACACAATCATACAACAAGACCAGTCGGACAAGTGTACATCCAACATCCAATTAACGTTGAACAAGAGCATTATTGTACCAGCTTATATAATGTAACAGTCAGGTTCTTCGCCAAAGATGTGAGTTTGAATCTCGATTGGGGGAAAATTTCTTTTCATCGAGTATCTCCGTCTGTCTGTTTGAATATTGTACCCCATTCAGCCCGGGTTGGCCCTAACAGGTGGAATCGAAGCAGCCTGGCCCCTAAATGATCTAAGCCGTGTCGATGGATCCGTAAAAGATTTGAATTACATTGAACTATCACAAGAACAATATATCTTTTCAGGCCCTACATGTGGATGAACACTATTTCAGACTAGCTGTTTTGCTTAGAAAGTTACAACCATTTAAATTTGGGGAGTCAAAAACACATGGATCTGAGAAAATCGAGGTTTCCTCCGATATCTCATAACAGTCGAGTGCGACAAGCGACTAGTTACGTCATTACATATTTTGAGCGTTAGGCAGAGGAACGTATACTGGCCTTGCGGCAGGAGACCCCAGTTCCATTCCCGAGAGGGGATGAAATTTATCGAGTACCTAGGTGTTTCTTCTGGGGTGTACTATCACTCTCAGCCCGGGTTGGTCTTGACACGTAGGGTCGGAAGCCCGCCTTCAGAACGATCTTGTTTTAGTAAGAGTTTTATGGCATTATATTCAACCTCATAGTTCTGAGCAAGGAATACTGCCAACACCAGAAAGATAATAATATGTTTCGCGTGTTCATTGGTTTCAAAAAGGCATTTGATGACGTGTGACATGATGCATTAAGGGCAACAATGAAGAACTACAACATGGGCTTAAGGCTGACAGAGTCGATCCAACAAACATACAACAAACCCACCACTGCAGGCCTCGCAAAGACGATGAGAAATAGTGACGAACCCATTAGAACAAAAATTACACTCAATGGTCAACAGCGTGAAACAGTCGACCAGTTTCAGTACCTTGGTGCTATCGTTAGCCAAGAAGGATCCAAGCCAGAAATCCATGCAAGAATTGCATAAACAACAGACGCGCTTACAAAACTAAGACCAATATGGAAAGACAGAAATATTTCAGTCATTTCCAAAATCAGACTACTCTATGCCCTCGTCATCTCCATCCTTCTGTATGCTTGTGAACCACTGTGTAGACTAGCTGTCTAAAGTGAATCGAAGAAAAATGAATTAGTATGGTCATATAACAAGATAGTGTGGCCTATCCAAGACCATTCTTCAGGGAACTATGCAGGGGAAGAGAAAAAGAGGAAGGCAAAGAAAGAGGTGGACCGACAACATTACGGAGAGGACAGGAAAATCCTAGGCCTAAACCCAGGCGCTCGAAAAAAAAAGTGAAAAGTGGAGGCACCTGACGAGGCTCTCTACCATACAGCGCCCCTACGATCCTTGTAGATTATGGGATCAGTAAGCAGTAAGTTATATAAGTGTTGAGGATAAGTGGCGTTACAAGAGAGTAACAAACTCGTAAAAGAAGGAGAGATAAGGACGATACATGTTTGATGGGAAAAAAGAATAAACCACATCAGAGCACCCGTCAACCACCCACCAAAATGATCTAAATTGTGTTGACTTTCTAATTTAAACAAAATCTTTTGGTAATTTTTTGGGGGGCAGGGGGGAGTTAAACCACCGACAAAGAAGAATGAAAAAGAGGAAGGAACGAATGGACGACTCACTGGAGCAGTCTGGCCAGAAAGTCCCGTGCCGTAGCCTCCACCTGCCGTTGAGGTCGCAGACATAGACATTCTGTGCTACCTGATGGAAGGCGTACCCTTGGCGACAGTGAGGCACACACGTCTGGAGGGAAGTGGGCGTGGGGGAGCAGGACACACTGCCTCGGTGTGGTGGAGAAGGGATTTTACATTCCGGTCCTGGGGAGAGAAGGGGGCGGGAGTTATGAGTTGTTCAGAGAGAGAGAGAGAGAGAGAGAGAGAGAGAGAGAGAGAGAGAGAGACAGAGG